GTGCGTGCGCGCATACATGACGTGTCCTGTGCTGACGTGGCCTGCCCTGCTACCGTACTGCGTTGGCCATTCAGAGCAGGCAGGGGGCGGGGCCGACGTGCATCTGCGCACACGTTCAGTTACGAAATAGGCAAACGTGGATGACGTCATTGGGAATGCGGTGCAGTGGCATGATCTACGGCGGGGTAGGCGGCTACGCTCGGCCAAGGGGCCTCACGTTCATTGCACCTGCTTGCGGTAATCGAGAACGGTTGGGCCTGTGGGCGCTGCTATGTACGGGGTAGATCAACGGATGACCCGCGCGATCCATGATTGTTGCCAGCGGTGCATGGATTTGTTGGCTTAGCTCAACGAATGCGGTAAATTGTGGTGGTACTTATCTCGGTGCCTCTCAGGAGGAGGATTTTTTTTTTAACAGCACAACGTAGTTTGCGTAATATTTTTTTTTATTTCGAGAACTGTCAAGAACAAAATTTATTTTCAGGAGTACTACCATATGACTAATTAGAACAGTTCCGGGCTATTAGGAATATATCGTAATTTTTCAGGAATATGCCATTAAGGTTTTTAGAATCGTAGGAGTTTTCCGGAAAATTTAAATTAGCAGTAGTAGTGCATGATGATTTTAGCATTATTTGGCAATTCTCGATTATCGTGCAAATATGCCTGGTTTTTGCTCGTGAGCTGCATATTCCCGATTTGTGTCCACGTCTGCTCGTTATATCAGCTCCGAGGGCTGCTCGAGTTTTTTTTCCTCTCCTTTGCGAGTACCATTCACTAATGCATGATGTCCAGCAGCTGTTAAGAACGGGGGCAACACGCTCTGCCAGTTGCACTGTGCTCGCCTCCATGGTCTCAGTGATTTCTCGCATGGGCTTTAAGAGAGGCATTTTTGCAGCGGAATTTTGAAACGTTTCTGATTGCTTTTTCTGGAGGAGAAGGCACATTCGAAACTACACATCTGAAAAAGCAAATAGTGCAAATGCGCCTGAACAAGATGCGCTCATTCTGGAAACTGGGATAATTCTGTGCGCACTATCTGCTGCAGTGTCATGTCCGGCTGGTCCTACAGTACCCTCAATGGCTGCTTCAGTGATACTTTTCGCTTTTTAGCTTTATTGCTACAGAACGGGATATATGTTTGAGGCTTCAGAGCACGAGTTCTTGTGGATTTGCTGGCCACCGCTGCTTACCTTCCCGATGTGCAAAGGAAAAGTCTCTGTTCAGGGAATGGTGCACTGAGCGACTTAAGAACGTAGCTGTTCCAGTTTAGCTCTTTGGTCGTTTTGACGATTTCTTTCAGGTCTTGGGGCGTTCGGGAAGTGGTACTGTCGAATTACGCTCTAACATCGCCAACAATTTAAGCTCTCCTTCTTGCTACTCATTAATTCAATATCAAGTACCATTTCTTACAGTTCTAATCTATTGTGCTCGATAGGCAGGATCGTTCAGTATTCCGGGCAGCCCCAGGAAGAACGAGGGAGAAGGGGAGGAGGGGCAAAGATGGTCAGACGATGGGAGGAATTGCGCGTGACCTACTTAGCGACCTTGTGTCCCATGACAAATGAAATACCATAAGTTAGTGGTGCGTACGGATCGTAGTATATACAACATATGGCTCTTATTTGTCACATTTTGGGAATTCCAAGGATGGTTTTTTTGAAGCAGTCGGATTCATTTCTCTTAATAAACCAGTTAATGCTTATATTGTAATAAGGTAATTTTGCTCAAGCTTGACGAAAGATGGAAATGAGGAATAAAAGTGACGAAACAGTGTTTTATTAGTCCAGAATTTTCGCTCACTGAGCTGATAAAAAAACTTGTCGAAAATAAAAAAGGGGAAGTTTTTGCGCGACAAAATAAAATGGAATAAATGCTTCCGAAAAAAGAAAGGAATGCACAAAGGGGGAGGAAACTAGCTGGATATAAAAGGTGAGTTGAGGTTAGAGGGTGAAGAAGAGTTATAACAGTACATGAAGGAAATGATAAAGAGAGGGCTAGGGCCAGGAAGCAGCGAGCGAGCTGAGTGGTAATGGAGCGGAGCGCAATTGAAAAATACTGTAGCGCTGCGTTATTTTTCTACCTTAAAGCAGTTCAAGAAACGCTAAAAAACGAAGGTACAATTGAATTAGTACCTAATGCTTGTCAAGAAGCTAATACGATTTTCAAAAATCTCAATCAATCATTCCACCAGGGTATAAAAATTATCGGAACAAGAGAGGGAAGACAAGGGATGAGAGAAAGGAATGAGTCTCAGTGCTGATGATTTAACATCCGCTGTTAAATAAAGACCAATGTATCCTTTTTTTCGAAGATCGCTTAAGAAGTGGATTTTTAGCGGTACAAAGTCTATTTGTCATGACGGTATTTGCCCCTCATGTCATAAGCAGATATGATAATATTCTTATTTGCAGCTTATCTCGACCTCATAATTTATTGGATACAGGCGCGCACGTAATCGTTTGTAACCGAACACATGGATCCAGCATCCGGATCAGCGCCAAATGGCCACTCTTACACACCATACAATAACCAGCCGATCCTCAAAATGTTCAAAGATTTCGAGGTTACGTTATGAACAACCAAAAAAAAGCAAACCCCCTTGAATATGATAATTCTCGCTTTGTTGACCCCTCATGGACCTCGCATATCAGCAAGTGTCCGCGAAAACAAAGTGCAACCACATGGTTACTGCCATGTGCTAGAGGTGATAAATCTAAATAACAATGGGATGCGACAGGCAGGACGAGCTGGGTATATGAATATAATCACTTGGCTCAGCCGAAATTTACAGCTTCTTCTTCAGCGACAACTTTTGAGGTTGCTTTGGTCACTGTAGCGTCACTTGTTGGTCACCATGTTCACGACTCTGACTTCCACTGAAAGAATCACCAGCCCAGTGGGGTATATTCATGTATGTCAAAAATCGTTGTAATTGTTATCAGTGCTCCAATCATATAAAAAACTTTTTTTTTCAGTCATTTACACCATTTGGCCAGCCAAAAACGCCAAAAAAACAGTCGCTTTCACTTCGCAATGATAACAAAGGTTCTCTTTCTTCTAAAAAAAGACCAATTTGTGACTGGATGCAAGACAAGGTACTACTGAAAACCACCTAGAATGAGAAAAACCAATCAGACGGCATCAAGCTGCAGGAAAAAGGAGGGACCAAATCTGAGATGATGCACTTCTTCGAATCGTGAATGCAGGCGTACAGTTGAGGCGTCTCATATGCTTCAAGTGTTCTACGCCTCGGGCGTCACTCGGCTGGCACTGGCACTTGCTGTTGCAATTTAGCTGATCGATTCAAAATAAATACTTTTTATTAAAGTAAAGTGTGACTCAAATTTCTCCCGGAAGTTGCAGGAACGGGCGGAATAAATCCAGCCCAGGAAGAAGTAAGTGGTGCGGAATGCACAATGGAATATCTGGCAGAATTACTTAAGGAGAAGAAACAGCTCGCGCCTTTCCCACAGGTGTTTCGCCACATGGAGCGTCTGGTTGATGAGGGTCATTTTTAAAAATATTATTTCGTTATTGTTCAGCATAATAACATGTCTGTAATTTCTAAACTTTTCAGAAATAAATCGTGTGCGTATGGCCTTATTCCAGTGCCATTTTGCGATTGAGCACCTGGACCTTCCAGAGCCAGAGGGGGAGCCGGTAACCATTCAAGAAAAGGTGTATGTTCCACGTAAAGAGCATCCAGATGTAAGTTATTTTTCACCAACCACTGAAAATTTGTGCCAGGATTTTAGCTGTCCACGAAGGTGAAAAAGGGTGAAAATATATTTCAGTATAATTTTGTTGGCCGCATTCTCGGGCCGCGTGGAATGACCGCTAAGCAACTGGAGCAAGAAACCGGATGCAAAATCATGGTTCGTGGGCGTGGTTCCATGCGTGATCGCCGCAAGGTTAAGCTTAGTTATAGTTTTTTTT